TCACTAGATACATGTTTCCATAATTCAAAACATGGTAAAACTCGTAATATTGAAAACTAACACGAATCTAAGCAATGAACTCTTAAATTAGTAGGATTTTCGTAACTTACCCTAAAAATAAAAAAAGGACAATTACATATAATATCAGTCCATACACTACGTTTACTATCTATTAAATCCAAACTTATATAAATTAGGAAAAAATGGTCGACTCAATTTTTCTCGTCTTTCTTCATCCTCATATATCACAATATTCGAAATATCGTGAAGATTTCATATCTAAAATTTAGAACGATTTTTAGAGGTGATTTTGAGTTAGTCGAAATTGAATAGTCAGTACATTAGTGTGTAATAAGCGTCATGTGGAGGAGTTCCATTGAAGTGTAAGATACAATAAAATCTTTCTATAAAGATATTTTCATGATTTCAAAATAAATAATATTATTAAATGTGTCTTACGTAATGCGAATTTTTGTTGAACGAATAATAAATTATGAAAAAGACAAATGTGAAAGGCCCACAACTTTTGATATTTGTACTTATATTTATTAATTTATTTAAGTATTTGTATAGCACTAGCACTAGCCCTACACTCCCATTTGCAGAGTTGTTTTGTCTCTCCATTTGCTGGTAAGTCAAATCTGTTCAGATCTTGATATTTTGGTCTTTTGATATAGTGATTTTTTTACGTCTGTCCTAGCCTCGATAGATTGAGTTAATTATATTTTTAATTAGTGAGAGGTAACACGTATCTGTTCGAATTAGTTGAGGTCTCGCCTTTGATTATACTAAGATGATAATGTCATTTGATTACTGTTACTATCTGTTGTTTCTTTATATATCTTATTGTTTTATCGTAGTTTCTATTATGTTACTGTCTGTGGTTTCTTGTACTTTCATTACTTTTTTCTCGAAACTGCTTTGGACTAATTTTACTTTGAGTCGAGGATCTGTCAGAAATAACCTCTCTATCTATGAGGTATGGTTAACGTCTGATTACACTCCACCTTCCCTAAACCGTACTTTTTGAAACTACACTGAGTGTGTTGTTGTAAAAACATGAAAGAGCAGGGGATTCAACAATGCTATGTACTAAGTAAACAGAATTTAAAATTTGGCATTGTATACACAATGCAATTTTTCTGTCTTAGGTAGTTAAAGAGACTTTAACTAATCAACATTATACCGGTAATCCGGTCAATTAAGGCTTAGGTAGATGAAAAGAACTCGTCGTTTTGTCTGTGTTGATTTTATGATTGATGGTTCACAAGGTTGTTATTTCAACTCTTGAACTACTAGTCTATACCTATCTCTTTTTCCCTATCGCGTTAGTTCGTTTGAGAAACTGTTATTATTTCTTATCTCTGCAGGAAAAAAGTTAGAAACTTTGGACTTAAGTGATGGGAGATGTTTGTAGGTATGCAGTTGTTACAGGAGCAAACAAGGGAATTGGCTTCGAGACTGTCAAACAGCTCGCGAAATCAGGTGTAACGGTTATCTTAACAGCCAGAAATGAAAAGAGAGGAATGGGAGCAACATCCTTGCTGAATGAACAAGGACTTTCGAACGTTGTGTTTCATCAGCTTGATGTTCAAGATGCTAAAAGCATCGAGTCCTTAGCGAAGTTCATACAAACACAATATGGGAGGCTTGATATTCTGGTAAGAGCATGAACGGATCAGTTTCTCGTGTGATTTTTTTTGAAGTAAATATAGGGAAGTTGATGATAAGTTTATGCAGGTAAATAATGCTGGAGCTTCTGGAGTTGTTGTTGATGAAGATGTCCTAAGGGCCTTGAATGTAGATCCTGAAGACTGGGTAAGATAATTTACATCTTGTTTTATTACCGATTTCACATGGTAATTCAATACAATAACAACAACATACACATTGTAATTCCGTAAATGAGGTCTGGAGAGGGTAAGATGTATGCAGAATATTTTCCTACCTTTGTGACGTTGAGAAGTTGTTTTCGGTTGAACCTTGGCTAGCTAAAGAAAAGTTTGGTCCAGAATCTTTGAGGGAAGCGATAATTGCCTCGTGTGGTCTCTGATCTTGCTCTGAACTAGTCTTAGAGCGAGGGACAGTTTTATGTCGTAACTCTTAAGGATGAGATACAACAAACCTACCTGAGGACAGTGGCAAGATCTATGATTTTCACTAAAGGGGAGTCAGAGTAAATTTCTTATTTCGTAGTGATTTCCTTAAAGAGGAAAAAAGAAAAGAGCGTGATCGGGAAGGTTAGAGTAGCCAAAGCCATTCGAATTTTTTATTTTATACATTGAAGATATCCATACTGGTGCCAATAGTTCATCACATAAGTCGGGATCACCAACTGATATAGTAATATGAACTAATATAATAGAAAAAGAACTGTTTTTCTCGTATACTGTCTCTGGTTACATTGCTACTGCAGGCTTTACGCTAATCAGAATTGTTATATTGATGTAAATGGGATTTACCTATATGCTTTTTGTTGTAAACAGTTAGCAGGGAAAGCTGTCAACGTCATTCAAGTTGCGATGAAAACAACTTATGAGAGTGCCAAATTATGCTTGGACACTAATTACTATGGCGTTAAGAACGTTACTGAAGCTCTTCTTCCATTGCTGCAAAATTCTCCTTCAGCAAGAATTGTTAATGTTTCCTCCCTTAGAAGTGAGTTAAAGGTAATTAAACAGAACTCCATTTCCTCTGTACTGATCTTTACTATCCACTCTCTTAAGCACCTTCAATCTTCTGTTAGACGATATAGTCACACTGCTAGTTTTTTCAAAATATAGGGATTATAGTTGGAAGTATTTCCATTTGCTTAAGTATTGGGGAGCAGAGTTACCAAGTAAACGCGATGATTTAAGGTAGCAGGTTGTTTGGACACCGTCGTTACATGAACAAGAAGAAAGAAAATAAGCTAGATTTTCTCTTAATGGTAGCTTGTTGTATTTTAAGGGATTGTATTGTAACTTCCAAAAGGACAAGATCTTTATAATTCTCGAGTCATGTTTTCAGTCCGAAAACTCAATCCTACAAATACTTTTTTGGTAACCATGATGTCCGGACCAACTTGTTTGCACCTGGATACCTGCTATCTCCCACTAACGTACAAGTACCGGGTAACTTTTGACATATTAGAAGGATTTCTTATTGATTTTGAATCGTTGTAATACAGCGAGTACCAAACGAGGAGAGGAGAAAGGAGCTAGGAGATGTTGAAAACCTGACAGAAGATAAACTCGACAAGATTCTGCAGAATTTTTTGCATGATCTGAAACAAGATGCTCTCGAGGTGAACGGTTGGCAAATGATGCTACCAGCATATAGCATATCAAAAGTCTCACTCAATGCTTACACTCGAATTCTTGCTAGAAAGTACCCGAAAATGTGTATCAATTGTGTCCATCCTGGATACGTTAACACGGATATAAACTGGCATACAGGAACAATGCCTGTCGAAGAAGGAGCTGAAGGATCTGTCATGCTAGCTCTTTTGCCTGATGGAGGACCTACTGGTTGCTACTTTGATCGTACAGTAGTTGACGAGTTTTAGATACAGCAATAACTATGCCTCAGTCCCAAACAAGTTGGGGTCAGTCGTGATGTTTTAGATATAACAATAAGTACGCCTCAGTCCCAAACAAGTTGGGGTCAGTCGCGATGTTTTAGATCAAGTCGTGAAATAAGACTATTTGTTTCAGTGTCTCTTGGAATTTGGTTGACTTTCTGAGCTTGATTGATGTTCTAGTGGTTGAATTAGTAATGAAACAATGAGGGAAGCAAACTGTTGTATCGTATCGTACTGTAATGTTTTAATGATCAGTATAATGTTTGGATATATTGTATTGTTCTCCAGCATCACACACTGTCACGTATCAACAATTTGAATACGAGATAAAACTACCATTAAAAGATAAGAAGAAAATATCAAGGTAACGATGCGATCACACCATATCGTTCATTACACAAGCCTTTTGTCGTTACCTAACAATGAATTTAAATGAAATATGATACAATGAAATTTAAGCGACAATCAAAACAAACAATGTATCTAAACTATCAATACACTACAACAGGTACCAATCATGGGCGTATCAAATTCAAACGTGACAAGTAAAAGTGAACGGACGGAGAAATTACCATCATTAATAACAAATGCCAGTAATTCATAACATTTAAATAAGTGAAAAATGACAACATAGCCAAGAAATGCATTCAAACATCACATTGAGTGTAAATGTTACTCTTATGGCAAACTGAAATGAATAATGATACTGTGTAAAGGAGTCACCAGTTAGAGGATCACATGGGTTTGCCTACCATTAAAAAAGGTAGTTAAAAGTGTAAGACAATATTACCCATAAAAACACATTTTTTAAACCAAACTTTTACTTATAAAATAGTAAGATAGTAGAAAATAAATTACTTGTATTAGCCCTATACTCTCCATTTACAGGTACGTCGATATATTTTATCTTTGTTGTTGCTGCATAAAATGTTTAGATTCAAGCCTCGATAGACAGAGTTAGTTGATATCTGTGTTACTATGAGGTAGCACATACATGTTGAAAACGAAACATCTTTTCAAAAGCAATTTAGATTCTGTATGTTGAAGAGAGGTGAGGCTTTTGAGATTTTGGCTGCTTAATGTTTTCAGATTGTATATAAATAGAGGAAGGCAACTCCCAATGTTCAAACTCTTTGTCACTCCCATCATGATGGATCACTAACTCTGTGAGTCTGTGTAAACGCCACTCCTTTCGGCCATTCACCAGTTTCTCGCAATTACTGATCACAAGTTTTTGTAAATTGAAGGGAAATCCTCCTTCACGGAAAGACTCTATCCTGATATGAGTTGGGGTGAGATAGTTGAGATTTTTCTATGCTTAATTAGAATTTAGGAGCACTAGTCGTAGAATGGGAAAAAAATCATGCCAGGAGCACCGCTCCTTCGATTGTGCAAATTCGAATTTAGTTGGACTCCAATGTGGATATCAAGCACCGAATGAGCAAACTACATATCCACTATAACTATAGCAGTACTTCTTGGAGTTTATTCAACCATCACGAGTTATAATTCTAATTTGATTTTCTGTACACAAGTCTTACAAAATGAGTACTCTAACCACTAGTTGAGTCCCAAACATATTAACTAATCGAGTTTGTCAACTTGCAAAAGAGGTTTACACTAGAAACATGAAATAGTATCAGCGGTACACTGATTGTAATCGCCCTTCTTTGATAGTTGCATCCCAAAGACTTGCCTATAACAACAGACCTGAAAATTCACTGTGGACGACATAATAGCTTTAGTGGAAAGATTAAAAAAAAAAAAAGAACTCGGGAACAGATGTAAAAATAGCAGCAGCACCGTAGAAACACTTCCTACGGACAATTAATGTACCACACTTGTCGTACTCGCTCTTAAAAAGCCACATCTGATTAAGCACAAAACATGTTTACGTTAGCAACAACACATGAGTTCAAACTGTAGCTTAAAATTGCAAAAGTATATGCAAGAGAAGATATCTGAAGACAGTGATTTTCTTACTCGTTGGATTAACACCCTGCAAATGTATATCTATAGCCCTTACCTATCAAAATGTAGTTGTCTAGTTGCTATACGAAAGAAAAAAGATGTTTAGCTTTTTTTGTCTACCTCTTTTATCTATCAAAATTTCTAGTGACATAGGATGGTTGATGATTACAAGAACTAAAAACTTTTGATTAAACATGGTGGCAATTGAGACGTGAATGAAAACACGGTAAGAGCATAAACCAATAAGCCATGAGAAACATAGAATCATATAACATCTGACAATGGAAGTTGCAGTTATTTCCTAAAACTTGTGATTGAATTATCCTCTCAAAAAGTTAGATTCTGTATGGAGCTTACCTATAAAGCTATGTGTTTGATGATGAGCACGACATGATTTAAAATGAAAAGAATTAAGAAAAAAGCAAAGTGAAATAAAAAGCTTCTGAGGGTAACGATAGCTTACATCAGTTGGAGAGCCATTTGTTTTAATTGTTAAATATATTCCCCATCGATCTTTATGGTGGGGATATGAGCAATTTCTGTCCAGTATTCCCCCTTGTCAAATTCTAGTAGTGGTGTGAGCCGGAAATACATAGTGTAGAGAGGGAAGAGGGCATCCCTTTTAATGGAAGGCATTGGAGATTAGGGCAATTAGAGATTAACAGGAGAGAGAGGGGGGAGGGCAGTGCTGATTCGAAGAGTGATTGGAGATTGGGGCAATCATCTATGTTCAGGTGAGAGAGGGAGGAGGGCAGTGCTGATTCAGGTAGTGATTGGAGATTACGGATTTGTAGAGCTTGAAGCGAAGTGAGGTGAGAAAAGGGATACCACATGATTATGATTCTTGATCTATTCCAAATCAAACAAGATACGATACTAAAATATTAACTAATTAATGTGAGTATTAAAAAAAAAATTGAATCAACTTATTGTATAGGCATTTGGTTAGCTTTTCGATCTACTTGTTATAATTTAAATTTTGTTTAATTTATTAACCATGATTAAGTGATAGAAGTATACCCACAAACACATATTACGTATATATTGATTTAATATAAACATCTGACACCAATAAGAAATTCTTGAATGAAAATGACAAATACGATTTTTACGTATCACTCTAGTAAGTCAATCCTTTTTTTGTGACAATCCGATATCCGCATTAGAGTTCGACTAAATCTGGATTCATATCGAAAAGTTTCACATTGAATTCGATTAAATCCAAATTCACACTGAAAAGTCTATATTTTTACATCGTTCATCTTGTTGTTGCAGAGAATGAAAAGATAAAAGAAGCTGATTCTATATTGATTGTTGGTGGTGGTCCTACTGGTGTTGAACTTGCTGGAGAAATCGCTGTCGATTTTCCTCAAAAGAAAGTAACTTTGGTGCACGATGGATCCAGACTACTAGAGTTCATCGGACCAAAAGCGTCTGACAAGACCTTAGAATGGTTAAAAAACAAGAATGTGGAAGTGAAATTGATGCAATCTGTCGATTTGAGTAATAACACGGACAACTCAGGTGGAAACAGAACATATTTCACTTTGTCTGGGGAAACTATCAGAGCGGATTGCCATTTTCTTTGCACGGGAAAGCCACCGGGTTCAGAGTGGTTAAGGGAGACATATTTGAAGGATCGAATCGATAATTTTGGAAGATTGAAGGTTGATGAAAATCTTAGGATGAAGGGTCACAGAAACATATTTGCTGTTGGTGATATAACTGATATTAAGGTAAGAACTAAACTGCATATCTCTTATTTCTTGAAAATGTATCATTTCTGTTGTGAGGAATCTTGTATGTGTTACAACATAGTAAGAGGGTTAGCGAACAGTCGAGCGATAACCAGAGGACTTGAGAAGGTAGGAGTAAGGTCTGCGTAAACTCTACTTTCTCATCAATACTGTGTATGTTGCTGTTGTTATTATTCTTCAATTGAATTCTAATGCTTTCTTCGTTACCAGGAACTTAAACAAGGATATTCAGCTCAAAAACATGCTCTAGTGGCCGCAAAGAACTTGAAACTTTTGATGAGTGGAGGAAAAGAAAGCAAACTTACAATATACGAGCCTCGATCATCTCCTAAGATCATCGTTTCGTTAGGAAGGCACGATGCAGTGGCTCAATTTTCGTTCACAACGATCATTGGATTAGTCCCCGGGATGATCAAGTCTAAGGATTTGTACGTTGGGAAAACGAGGAAGAAAATGGGGCTTCAACCTAAGTAATATATGATTGTTTCATTCATGAAATTTAACATCATTTTGAGTGTGAGAAAATCGTATCATTTCATGGCCAAAATTTGAGTTGTTCATTTTGCTGAAGACTGTGCATAGGTGTTCAATAGCTAAATATTTTTTAGTTGTTGTAACTATAGTTAGTGTAGGATTTAGCATTCTTTCTTTATTTTGGTTGTTATTTGAGGTTTTTTCTCAAAATTATTTGCACCTATGTAGTTATAATTTTTAGTTTACACTTTATACCGAATATATTGATATGAGTTGGGGTGAGATAGTTGAAATTTTTCTATCCTTAATTAGAATTTAGGAGCACGAGTCGTAGAATGAAAAAAAAATCATTTCAGGAGCGCCACCCCTTCAAATGTGCAAATTTAGTTGGATTCTAATGTGGATATCAAGCACCGAATGAGCAAACAACATATCCACTATAAAAATATATCACTACTTCTTGGAGTTTATTCAACCATCACGAGTTATAATTCTAATTTGATTTTCTGTACACAAAAATCTTACAAAATGAGTACTCTAACCACTAGTTGAGTCCCAAACATATTAACTAATCGAGTTTGTCAACTTACAAAAGGGGCTTGCACTGGAAACATGAAATAATATCAGCGGTACACTAATTGTAATCGCCCTTCTTTGATAGTCCCATCTCAAAGACTTGCCTATAACAACAGACCTGAAAATTCACTGTGGACGACATAATAGCTTTAGTGGAAAGTTCAAAAAGAAAAAAAAGAACTCGGGAACAGATGTAAAAATAGCAACAGCACCTTAGAAACACTTCCTACGGACAATTGATTAAACATGGTGGCAATTGAGACGTGAATTAAAACATGGTAAGAGCACAAACCAATAAGCAATGAGAAATATAGAATTATATAACATGTGACAATGGAAGTTGCACTTATTTCCTAAAACTTGTGATCGTTATCCTTTAAAAAATTTAGATTCTCTATGGAGGTTAAATATAATGCTATGTGTTTGATGATGAGCTAGCACGGCATGATTAAAAATGAAAAGAAGTAACAAAAAAGCAAAGTGAAATAAAAAGCTTATGAGGGAAAAGAATAGCTTACATCAGTTGGGGAGCCATTTGTTTTAATCATTACATGCATTCCCCATCGATCTCTATGGTGGGGATATGAGCAATTTGTGGCCAGTACTCCCCCTTTTCAAATTCTAGTAGTGGTTTGAGCAATGGACATTCGGAAATCGATAGTTCAGAGAGGGAAGAGGGCATCCCTTTTGATGGAAGGGATTGGAGATTAGGGCAATCGGAGATGTTCAGGTGAGAGAGGGAGGATGGCAGTGCTGATTCAGCAAGTGATTGGAGATTAGAGCAATCGGAGATGCCCAGGTGAGAGAGGGAGGAGGGCAGCGCTGATTCAGCAAGTGATTGGAGATTAGGGCAATCGGAGATGGTCAGGTGAGAGAGGGAGGAGGGCTGTGCTGATTCAGCAAGTGATTGGAGATTACGGATTTGTAGAGCTTGAAGCGAAGTGAGGTGAGAAAAGGAGGAAAGCTGGCCTTGTGACTGAATCCGAGATAAATTACCCTCAATATCTAGATATTGAAGAGAGGTGAGGCTTTTGAGATGTTGGCTGCTTAATGTTATCAGATTGCATATGGTAAGACTCTGAATAGAGGAAGGCAACTCCCAATGTTCAATATCTTCGTCACTCCCATCATGAATGATCCATAACTCTGTGAGTCTCTGTAAATGCCACTGCTTTCGGCCATTCACCAGTTTCTTGCAATTACTGATATAGAGTTCTTGTAAATTGAAGGGCAATTCTCCTTCTATTTCTGGACAATCAGACAGTTGCAGTTCCTTGAGAGATGGAAGGAGTTCTGGAAGACACTTGAGCTTCTTACAGCCATAGATATCCAGTAACGTCATCTGGGCCGCTCCTCCACATGCCACCGATAGTTTTTCAACATTCTCACAATTCCGAATATGGAGAGTTTCAGTGGCAGTAGGAATCAAAAACCTAGTAACGTTCTGGCAATTTTCAATACTCAATTCACGTGCTGTTGGGAGAAACTCAGGTGATATATCATCTACACAACCACAATCCTTCACACTCAAATACTCCACAAACATCTCACAAACTGGCGCCTCCAATCTCAATTTCGGGCAATGAGATATCTGTATTCTCTTCAAGGTAGTTGGCAGTATGCTAAAAGGAAAGGAGGTAACAGACTTACAATCCCATATATATATTTCCTCAATCTGCTTCATTGCTTTAAGTTGGGATCTAAACAGTTGAGCATCATCAATAACAACTGGACAACCAACAACTTCTAACCTTTTTAAACTAGAAAATTGGATGGGTATCTCCAAACTGAGCTCAGGGCAATTTTTAATTGAAAGGTTCTCAAGTGTAGGGAACTCTCCAATTCCTAGTGCGTGCCATTGCTTCCACTCCGTCATATCTTCAAATTCAAGCTTCTCAAGACAGTTAAAAGGCTTTTTGGACGACAATCTGCCATAGAATTCTTCCGTCACCACTCTTATTCCATGCATCCCTTTAACGGAAAGGAATTTCAAACAAGGGAGTTGTCCTAGTGCTGGCAAGGAATAACAGTTCTTGCAGTTTCTAAGAGACAATTTCACCAGTTTAAGAAACAAAGGATCAGCAACCCAATCGGGAAAGTTTGTCCCTCTATATCCAATGATTTTGACTTCTTTTATGTTTTTATGTGGGCATAGCTCATCAAGTATGTCTCTTTCTGTATGTGAATTGTCAGCACTAATACTTTCACTCCACTTCAAAGATAACTTGTCAACATGATTCTTCTCCCTCATCTTTGCCTTCACAGCTTCCCTTCTATCAACCACATTTTCCAACTCTAGAATTGATAGAGATCCATATAAGTTTTTTGCTTCACCCAAATCTTCCGTTCTCCAAACACCTAGAAGAAACTTGGCTCCCACTAACACTTGGAGGCTTTTCAACCTGCTCAGATGTAGTGGCATCTTCAAGCGCCAAGTGTTGCTTATGTCAAGATGACGCAAGTTAATCAACTTCTCCATATGCAGCGGTAGCTCCTTAAGAGAACAACAAGATGACAGGAGAAGTGTCTCTAAGTTATACAATCCACATATGGAATCTGGCAACTTTTTAATCCATGTCTCAGAAAGGTCCAAAAATCTGAGGAGCTTTAATTTGATAAACAAGTCATTTGGCAACTCCTCAATCTTGTAATGAGAGAATGATAGTACCCTCAAGAATCTTAGTGTAGGCAGTATGTTATGCAACACCCTCTTGCTTAGAGGGTGATAACAATAATTGACACTAATACATATCGGAAGCAAAGTCCTCAGCCCCTCCAATTTGCAGAGGGGTGTCAATTTCTCAAACTCACCATCATTGACCATAGAATATGATAAATGCCGACTTTTTTCCAACATATGAGATCCTTGGCTCTCTTCCAACCTGATACAAAGTTTTGAAGATGCAAGTTGGGCTAAATCATTGACAAGGTCATGCATTAGGAATAATTCCTTTATGTTTCCTTCAGAAGGATTTGGGACCCTTTCAAATAATGATCTTGAACTCAACTCGAGAAAGAATTGGTTGCCTAAATCTTGATTTATTTCATCTTTCACTGGTACGAGACCATTGGCAATCCATAGATGAATAACTTGTTCTTTCCTAAATGGATAATCTTTAGGAAATATTGCACAAAAACAAAAGCATCGCTTTAAATGTGCGGGAAGATCATTGTAGCTCAACATCAACGCTGGTAATATGTCATTGTCTCGCAGCTCCCATATTTCACTTCTCAAAATACGTTTCCACTCATCAATCTCTGATTTGGAGCATAACATGCCAGCGAGTGTCTTCAGAGCTAAGGGCAGTCCTTTACACTTAGCTGCAATTTGTTTTCCGACCTCTTCGAGTTCCGGATATCCCATAGGATTCATGTTTTCAAATGCATGTCTTTTAAACAAAGACCAAGAGGCTTCAGTAGACAAATTGTTCATGCTAATTTGCTCATTTCCCATCATCAAGGCAACACTGTTTTTGCGTGTCGTCACAATGATCTTACTTCCTATATCTCCTTGTACAAAAATGTTTCTCAAGTCATCCCACTCGTTGTAGTTGTCATTCCACACATCATCCAAAACAATAAGAAACTTCTTTCCCTTCAAACTTTCCTTCACTTTGACTTGAAGCTGATTAAGATTGTGATCAGCCTTCAAGTCTGTTGAGCCAATTTCTTGAAGTATACCTTTTGTTATTCTGAAAGCATCATACCTCAGAAACACAAAACCAAGCTGTCAAACCAAAATGTTTCTTCACTCTCTCATCATTGTAAACCGCCTTAGCAAGTGTTGTCTTACCCAGGCCGCCCATTCCAACAATAGGAACTACAGCTAAATTTTTTCCCTTTGTATCCATAGACAACAAACGGCCAACCAAATCCTCTATTTCATTCTGCCTTCCAAAGATACCAGAATCAACAACCAAAGAAGTTGAAGGTGTTCTAGTTTCTTGTTTGGTCGAAATAAAATACTCCTTTAAGCCAAGGCGACCAATTTGCTTTTCCAACACCTCCAACGTTTCAATAGTTTCTTCCAACTTATCCTTTATGTTACGAAAGAAATCATCACTCAAGCACAAGTTGAGGTCACTTACTTGTTTGTTGCTTGTTTCAGCAAGATTTTGATGCTGGCCTTCCACCTTAAGCCTCAAAGCTTCATAATTGACTTCTTCTATTAAATTTTCAGCAGAGTCAACAGCATCTCGAAGCTCATTAAGCCAGTCGCTCACAGATGGATTTGATGCTTGCTTATTCTCTGCATCACTTAGCACAATCTGAAGACCACACAAAGTCATTTTCAGCTTCTTTAAGAGCTTAACATGATCCTTGTGCTTCCGAAACATGTTGAGCAGATCACCGTTAGGAGCAAGCCTATCAAACAGAACATTCAAAGCTGAGGAGAGAAATGCACCACCAACTGCTAATCCAATCTCCATTTCTGAAATCTGCAAAAGCAAAACAAGGAAACACACAATATGATTCTTTAACAAAATATATCTTCAAATAGTGTCTGTTATGAGCTTTATTTTACCTGTTGAATGCTAAGAGTAATTTGCAAACAAGAATGATCAGCGATTGCTCTCTCTTTGTTTAGTACAACTATGTTCTAGCTAATCTACAAGAAGCAAAACTTTCCTCTTTTCTCTTATCAAAAAGTTGAATAATTGAGGTAAGTATCTTTTGCTTTATGTCTATTCATTACTTTTTCTTTATGCACTTACTCATTTTTCAACAGCTCAGTGTAGTGCTTAATTGAGCCCAGCATATATATCATGAATACGTTTTAGAATTGGATTCTGTAACATTTTCCTTTTATCAATGGTATTATTTTTTGTGTGTTTACTTGAGCCGATGGCCTTTCCGAAACAACCTCTCTACCCTACAGATAGTGATAAGGTCTACATACACACTTCACTTGTACGTGGGGTTATACTTGTTGGTTGTTTCTAATTTTCTATGTTGACATAACAAATAAACATCCAACATATAATATAACATAATTGTCCTGAAAAAGGTACAATATACTGTAGTTTTAGCAATATGCTTGTTTGCTAAAACTACAAAACACAGACTAAGAAATAGCTTCTTCTTTTTTTCCTTTTAGCAAGGTTCTTGTTGCTGCAGAGAATGAAAAGATAAAAGCAGTATTGATAGTTGATGGTGAAACCTACTAATGTTAAACTTAGCTGCAGAAATCACTGTCGATTTTCCTTTAGATTAAGGTAACTTTACTTTGGTGCAAGGTGAATCCAGACTACTAGAATTTAGAATGGTTAAAAAACAAAAATGTGGAAGTAAAATTGATGCAATCTGTCGATATGTCAGGTAGAAAGTTTGGTAGCTGGTTTGGAAATGAATTATAAGTGAATTATGTAAGTGTTAGAATTCTGTATAAGTAGTAGTCATGTTTGTTAGTTGTTAAAAGGTAAGTATGTATGTATAAAATTAATTAATGCGGTGTTTGGTTTATAATTTAGAAATTCACGTAACTAATACATATATAGATTAATATGAAAAAATCTATATATTATTTTATGCGGCATAAAAATGAAATAAGTAAATCATAGATAAAATAATGCATAAATTCCATTATAAAAAATAAAATAAAATCTGTGTTTCTCTTTTTCAACTTTTCACCCAACTAGAATACAAAGACTTTCACCTAACAAGAAGACAATGACTATTCATTATTTTCTCAATTCAATAATTGAAGCAAAAGGGATAGAGTTCTTAAGTAGGGGGAGACTCAAAAATAAAACAGTTAAAAATGATAAATCTTCAATTACCAAAGGAACTTTACCTGTTGATGCTAATTATGAATCGTTTGGTAGCTGGTTTGAAAATGAATTATGCAATTATTAAATTTTCTTATAAGTAATAAAATGTTTAATATCTGGATAAGTGGTAAGTTATTGATGTATAAAATTAATATTGTGTTTGGTTTACAATTTAGAAATTCACATAACTATTACACATAAATTTCAATATAAAAAAAATCTATATAATCTTATTTTATGCAAGATATAAGACAAAATAAATAAAACATAAAGAAATAAATCATGCATAAATAATACATAGATTCTAATAAGGGAAAAGGGTTTGATATACCCCTCAATTTTGTCATTTGGAGCTGATACACACCTCGTTATAAAAGTAGCTCATATATATCCTTACCGTTATACAAACGGCTCACATATACCCCTGCCGTTACAAAATGGCTCACATATACCCTTCATTTAACGGAATTTTAAATAATTAGTTTTAAATTTATATTTCACTTATAATTTTTTTTAAAAATTATTTAGTGGTATATATGATTCTTCTATAAAAGTTCAAGGTATATTTTAATT